GTTATTAAGGTTTATAAATATATATAGTCCTCCGCTTTACTCTAGATTAATAATTAATATTATTAAAAATAAATGTTAATAAGATGATTAAAGATCAATAATAAAATTTTTAATTTATAATTTTTTTAAAATTACAAATTTTTAGCTTATAAATAATTTTAAATTATTTATTATATGATTAAAAAATAAAATTTACTATAATATTATATATATTTATAAAATTAATTTAAAAAAAAAATTTTAATATTTCATAAAAGTAAATTAGAAGAGAATTTATAGTAAATAAGCAGGCAAATTTGCTTATGAACTTTTATAGTTTAAGGGATATTAAGATTATTTTTAAAATAACTAATATAAAATATTGAAGTACCTTTATATATTATAATGATCAACATTCAAAGAGAATGATTATAACCATTAAGACAAGTTTTTAATATTTCCATTCAAATAAATAATGTAGAAATTCTTATAGATATGGATATCACTAAATTAGATAATTATTATATTGTAGCTAAGAATAATTAGCTTACTAAATATTAAGCTTCAATGTAATAAAATAAGTTTCTTTTTTAAATAAAATGGAACTATATATCAATCCAAATAACTTATTGAAAAAAACTATCATTTGATCAATTTTAACAACTAAATTTTATCGAATCAATATTAAATAATAAATATAATATTTTATTATATTAAAAGATTAAGTGACTCAATCTATCTTTATTAAAAGTAAATCTGAGTAAATTATTATTAAAGGACAAACTTACTTATCTCAATATTATAGAAGTTTAAAATAGAAAATTAATATACAATTACCTTTATCTAAAAAATTAAAATATCACTAGAAAGAACCTGAAGCTCACTGTTAGTATTATAATAAATTAAAATAATTCATTAATGAATATTTCTTATGCAAAAAGAAATAAGAATATCTACAATTACTTTTAAATATATCTAAAGACAAAGTTTTTATACTAACTCAAAATCATTTTGACAATAAATAATAACAATAGCTTATACAATTTTTACAGAAATATGATAACATATTTTCTGATGATTTATCTTAGCTAGAGTATACTAATATAAAAACTTATCATATTTTACTTAAAGTTAGTTTTTCTATAAAGTAACAGTCTTATTGTTTGCATCTCTAAAATAAGATTTTATAAAGAAAAAAATTAATAAGATGTTAAAAAATAAATTAATACAACTCTGAATGTTCTTAGGCTTTATCTGTTATTCTAGTTTAAAAAAATAGAAAATTAAGATTTTGTATCGATTACTAAAAATTAAATAATATTATCAGGTGAGATTGCTATCCTTTCCCTTGAAATAATGAACTTCTTGATATATTTAGATATATTATTATATTAGATCTAGCTAGTAGATATTAACAAGTAGCTATAGCACTTGAGGAATAACAAATTTTTATCATCAATCAAGAATTATACGAATTTATAATTATACCTTTTAGGTTAACCAATATATTTACAAATTTTTCAATGACTTATGAAAAAATTGGAAACCTGTTGGATGTCTACCTTCTTCCAAGGATCCTTGTAGCACTAGTAAAAAGAAAATATCCCGATAAAGTTCTCCATTCATATTTTCAGTAAGCAGTGTTGATCAAGTCACATGACATTATCATTATTTTGGACACTACTGTAATTACAATATAAGTATAAAATATAAACTAGTTTGAACCCGTTTTGCAACGGGAGAAAGAATTTTTAATACCAGGCTGAGATTTGTTTATGTTCTTGCCTATCACGCAAACATAGATGCGGAACGTCTTTTTAACCTTGGATTATCAAAGGAAACTTTATCATGTGGCGAAATGATAGTCTGATTATTTTAAGTTGCTGTTATGATACCTTTGAGAAAATATGAATAAGATTCTTCAAGATTGAAAATTTGAAATACTAGAGTTTGGAATAATTATTCCATAACCATTTATTTCTTTTGCTAATTTATCGGAAATTCGGACGAATCATCAGTGCACAGCCAATATGTAGATCAGATATGAAATGGACAAAATAAAAGCGAATAGGAATACAAAAGTCACTGATGATCTTAGCGAGATCAATATCAGTGTAGTATATATACCGAATATAGTTTACTTTTCAAATAAAATAATTTTAAAGTTCAATTTTATTAATAAAGATTGATCTATATATTATAATATTATGTATAATGTCTATCTACCTCAACAAACAATTGTTCGGCTTTGCAAATGGAACGGTTATGCCGAGATAAATCAAACATTCTAAGCCTTCGATGAAATGTATTTAAAGAGATTATATGTTTTTTTTTTATAATGAAATTATACATAATTTCATTTTACAATAGAAAAATACATTTTTTTTTTTCATTATATAAGAGAATGTAGAGAAGAATACTTAACGATTAAGTGAAGCGAATGCGCGAGTAACGCTACGTTGTAATTTCTTTTTTGTAGCATTGATATCTTCCTTACTGATTGCCGAATCATTGGCGAGATCAAGAAATTCATGTGCCTCTGCGAAAGATGGAAGAATAATTAATATAAATAAAAACATTAAATAACATAGTCAAAAAGAATTAAAACCTGCAAGTGCATTCTCAATAGATTCTTTATCATTACGTTTCAATTTCAGCGCGACACTTGGTTCATTAAGAGTGTTATCAATCTAAAACAAAAGAAAAGAAAAGAAAATAAATCAATTATTGAGAAAAATAAAAAGTATATAATTATATACATACTTGATAAACATAATTCTCGAGTTCTTGCTTAGCTTCTACACGTTCTTGACTCTTTTGATCTTCCTCTTTGAATTTTTCTGATTCCGCAACCATACGTTCAATATCAGCGGCTGATAATCGACCAGCCGAATTTGAAATTGTAATATTAGCTTTACGTCCAGTTGCTTTATCCTTTGCTGTGACTTTAAGAATACCATCAGCATTAATATCAAAGGTACACTCAAGTTCAGCTTCTCCACGAGGCATTGGAGGTATTCCTGATAATTCAAAAGATCCTAATAAATTATTATCATGACACATTGGTCTTTCTCCTTCATAAACAGGAAATTCGACGATAGTTTGACCATCTTCTGCTGTTGTAAAAATTTTTTTCTTTATAGTTGGAATAGGTGTATTTCGAGGTACAACTACTGCCATAACTCCACCTTGAGTCTCGACACCTAAACTAAGTGGTACCACATCTAAGAGTAAGAGGTCTTGGGTTTTTTCGTTACCAGCTTGATTTGTTAAAAGAGCAGCTTGTACAGCAGCTCCGTAAGCAACAGCTTCATCCGGATTGATTGATTTATTCAATTCTTTTCCATCAAAAAAATCTTGAAGTAATGACATTATTTTTGGAATACGAGTAGAACCACCTACAAGAACTATTTCATTTATATCTTTCTTTTCCATTTTTGCATCTTTCAAAACTTTTCGAACAGGCTCTAAAGTAGAACTGAATTGAGTAGAATTTAATTCCTCAAATCTAGCACGAGTAATATTGGCTTGAAAATCAATCCCATCATATAGTGAATCAACTTCAACAGCGGTTTGAGTAAGTGAAGATAAAGTACGTTTTGCTCTTTCACAAGCAGTTCTCAAACGACGTATAGCACGTGCATCCCCCGACATATCGCTCTTATGTTTACGCTTAAATTCCTGTTTAAAGTATTCAAGGAGATTATTATCAAAATCTTCACCACCCAAATGAGTATCTCCTGCGGTTGCTTTGACAGCAAAAACTCCACCAGATATATTCAAAAGAGATACATCAAAAGTACCACCACCTAAATCAAAAATCAAAACATTCTTTTCTTTTGTTTCTTTAGAATCTAGTCCATAAGCAATAGCTGCAGCAGTTGGCTCATTTATAATTCGAAGGACATCTAACCCTGAAATTTTCCCGGCATCCTTGGTGGCAAGACGTTGAGAATCATTGAAATAAGCTGGAACAGTAATAACAGCTTTCTTAACCTTTTTCCCTAGCTTTCCTTCAGCAATTTCCTGTAAATCAAATATTTTAAATCATGAAAAATGATAATTCATAAAATTTGGTTTGTTATACATAAGTAATTTAATCATACCTTCATACGAGTTAATACCATTGATGATATTTCTTGTGGGGTAAAGTTTTTCGTCTCGCCTTGATATTCAACTTGAATCAAAGGAGCACCATCTTTTTCAATAACAGTAAAAGGCCAATGTTTGATATCGGATTTTACTTCCGGATCATCAAAACGTCGACCTATTAAACGTTTCGCGTCAAATACTGTATTCTTAGGATTCATAGCCGCCTGGTTTTTAGCAGCGTCTCCAATAAGACGTTCAGATTCAGCAAAGGCAACATATGAAGGCGTCGTACGGTTCCCTTGTTCATTAGCAATAATTTCTACAAAATAACGAGGAATAGTAAATTATCCATTATTTATTAATATAATATATATTTTTTTGACTATCACTACTTACCAACGCGTTCATTTTCCCACACAGCAACGCACGAATAGGTAGTCCCTAAGTCAATTCCTATAGCACCTTCATATTGGTCTATCATGGTTGACATGGTTGAATAAAATCACTTTTGATTAGGGAAAAAAATTTTTTTTTTTTTTTTACTAGACGACTAAAGAAAAAAATTATCTATATCTACTATCTACTGTAAATGCTATAAATGCTAACATGTCGATCACAAAATTTGCTGCGTCTCAAAAGTCTCCAAAAAGTCTGTTAAAGTTTTTAATCTAGCATTTAAAATTAAATATATATGAATTTAATTAATAAAAGATTTTTTTTTGTTTTTTAAAGAAATTATTATGATAAAATAAATTTATATAAGGATCACAAGAAAACCTTATAATCTAAATAAAAAATCCATTCTTATCAAAGTTCTTTTTTTTTTAAAAAAAAAGTCATTAATCAAAAATAATTTTCTTTATTATTCTATTTCAAATCTGAATGAGGTAGTAAACCGATTTTTTTTTCTTTTTTTGAATTTATTTAAAATGGAGAAGGTTAATTTAACTCGTGGAGGAACAACCCGTGGAGGTAAACACCGTGGTGGCGTTTCAGGTCGTGGTACTAGAGGCATATCTCACGGTTAATTATATATAATAGCGTATATTACACTGGTACTATGAATAGTTCCTTCGTAAGGCTGAAACTAACCAAGATTTAGCATCAAACCAAGATATGAGTCAGCGACTTCTCAAAAAAATATGGTGAACTTTCTTTAGTAGTGTCCTTAAAATTTTGCCAAACTTGTCCATCATATATATCCGTTGAAATATTATCGTATGTTAGCCTATTTACCTAATGACGCAGTGAAGTTTCAAAGCCAGATCGACAATATAAAGCTGCCAATTGTTTACGAATTCTAACAAATGGATAAACTAGCTCTGGCTTATTTATGATTTGACCACTTAATAATTTCGCTTGTTTAGATAAGTTCATTTGGCACATTTTCGATTTATGAGTTGCTGAATTTAGGAATTTGACGTGATTACAATTCATAACAGAAAGATTTTCATTTTTCTAAAATTCAGCAACTTTTTTTTCATCATATAATTTGTGACATTTTAGGCATACTGCAAAATTATGAAAGTTATCTTTTAAGCTGAGCTTCATTTTTGCTAAATAAAGCAAATTAGGAAAAGAATTAAATTCAGGGCTACCAATTTCTTTTAATACAAGCTTTATAAACTTTATGAGTGACTCTGTAGCTATCTCTAGTAAGTTAAACTTTACATGAAAGCTCATTATCCATAACAATATTCATGAGGAGCGATCATTATTTGTCGATTGTATGTTATATGTCTCTTGAAATAATATAAATGATAAGCATAAATAGTCTTCGAAAATTTTAGCAATATCATTATAATCTTCGTTTAACAAATTTTAACTTTCGCTCACACTGCTTCTATTCTCGTTTACTTCTGAATTATCGTAAACATTAAGATTTTATTCGAGGTTTGATGTAAGATGATTTGTATATCTTTTATGCCTTCAAGGGTGGTGATTCATTTCCTTCTCATGGTCTTCTTGCCGTATTTCATTTAGATTCTTTTCCTCATAGTCATTTTGCTAGAATTCATTTCCTTATTCATCCAATGATAAATTAGCCAATCCTTTTTGGATGAAAACTGTTTAATCTTGTTCGTGATGATTGTTATGACAACGTATTACTCATGGATTGACTAACGCGCTATCTCATTTACTGTAATAGCATGCAACCTTTGACCTTTTTCTTTTTTTATACATTTTGAAAAATAAATAAAAACTTGATATTTTTAATATTTAACGTTTATATACATTTATTTACATTTATTTTAAGATATTTAAGTCAATTTGCATACAATCAAGACAATTCGATTTTGTAAGCAAGAAGATACATAAGTTAATTTTTAATTATGTTTTATTTTAAGTATAATAAAATTTGAAATTTATTTTGTTACTAAAGCTTACTGAAAGTTTAAATTTTTTATATAAAGAGAATTGTTTTCTAATTTATACTCAAATTATCTTTCTTCGTGTATTTTCAATTTTTACAATACAACAATAATAGAAATAATGATTCGTCAAAAGATGACACGTCATAATAATAATAACTTTTCTCTCGTCTTATAGCAAACTAATATAATAAATACCCTTCATACTTCATCAACATCAAACACTTTAGGCTCACAACAAAATACACGTTATCATGCTTCAATCTTAAAGAATAATGACTTCCTAGTCTCACAACAAAATACACAGCCAACTTTAAACATTTCAGCCTCACAAAATAATATAACAAAAACACTTTGTGCTACTACAGCCTCACGAAATAATATAATAAATACTCTTCGTACCTCACTAGCTTCTGGCACTTCAGCTTCATAACAAAATACGAGTTATTATATCCTAACTTTAGAGGGTAATTATCAATGAAATACAGTTAATACCAATCAATCAATGCTGGAGGCTGTCAAAAATCTCAAAGGGAGAGTGCATGGCCTTTGAGTATCAGATTTTACTAAAATAATTGATGATAATAAGAGTAACGTATCTGTTCGTAGAAAAACTAGAAATAATCCTATGGAACCTATTAATTATCCTCACAAAGGTATATCATTTGGCTTGTTACATCATCATGTCATTTTATCGTCAATTTAATCTACTAGTTTGTCTAAAAATTACAAGACAAAGAGAAGAAGTTGAACGGTAGAAAGAGAAAACTCACTTTTGGCAAAAATAGCATAATATTATTATCGAACAGATTAAAAGTATTTGTGATAATATAGATCGTTTAAATATGTAAATAGAATGATTAAGAGCAGAAAATGAAGCACTTATATTTGTTAATAAAGAACTTTTAAAACTTAAGGATGAGATAAAAACAGAATTTGATCGATACAAATCAGAACAATAATTAATTAATGAGAATGATGATACATTAGCTGATGATGATGATCATTTCTCTCAGCCAAGAAAAAGGATAAAAGTTATATTAAAATTGAGAAGCAAAAACAAAGCTTTATTAATCGAAACAAAAGAATTGGATGATAAAATAGCGCAGGTTTGTAATTTTATTTATTTTATTGTGATAATTTAAATTTTAATCTTTATCCAAATATTTGTTCTTATAAACAGGCAGAAATGAAGGAGATATTAAAAACTTTATCAAACAACTTTGAAATGAAATATGATCAAGTATTTAATAACTCGAACAACAAAAGAATCTGGTAATAATTAGTACTGAAATTATTAAGATCATTACGATCTCAATACAACTCTTCATATAATCAATTGAAAGAATGGCTCTGTGCATTATATAAGCACTGAATAGACAGTTATATGCTAAACTAAAAAGGAACTTAAGATTAATCTAACAGATGAGTACACAATAACAATCACGTAGCAGAGACATGAAATTCGTTAGTTTTTATAATTTTTAACATTTGTATCTAACATTTTTCATATATATAGAAAAGAGATCAGCGAATAAGAGGTGCATTGGCTTTATTTGATGTGAAAGATTCTCAAGTCTTGAAGTATAAATAAAGACAAAATTATGAAATTGCTCAGGATTTCAGAATACCATTCATCTGAGAAATCAGAAACAGATCAGGAAAATGATGAAGAAAAATGCTAGATAGTCATATATGATTATTTCTAGCATTTAAATGAGGTTTAATAATTGTTATCATTCTTAGTGTATTGGTTTCCTCAAGTACTAATAATAATTCGTTTAATTTTTAATTTTCTTCATATAATTTCAGTTTAAGAATCTTTTATGAAATGTTTTTGAAAAGCATGCATTGTCACAGCAATCAGCTCAGCTAAACGAAATTAAAAACTCTTTCTCTCTCTTAAAAAATTTAAAAAAAACAAAAATTTTATTTTTCAAAGAAAACTTTTTTTATATTAAAACTTTATTTATATAATATATCTCTTGATATTTTTAAAAACCTTTTACTAAAGAAGTCTTAAACTTTCAAAAACTAAAAAATTACATCATGCCTGAACTTAAAAAAAGAGACTTTGCCATCGCAGAATTTCTCTCTTACGAAACACCAGAAGTTTTCTGGCTTGTCAGGAAACTAAATGAAGAATACCTCAAAGTTTTCCCAACTGAACGTACAGCTCAAAAAATTTTTCTTAACAATAATTTTATAGATAACCTTGCGAGGTCTTATGCTTACAACATTTATGAAACTGGAACGAGAGACCATAGAATCTATAATACAAAAAATATTATTTCAAATACAATTGAAACTGCTCTTTCTATTAACGAAAATGTAGATATTGTTTCAACTATTGACGAAGAGGAATTAAACTTACAAATAGATACGCTCAATGATGATGACATACTTACGAATACATATATTATAAGACATAATAATCTTCCTTCGTCATTAATATTCTCTAATACATAACAATCTTCTTCCAAAAATCAAAACAAACAATCGATAAACAACTAAAACAAAAAGAGTAATAAATAAACCTACACATCTATTTTATAACAAAACAAAAATAATAATATTTTAGACGCATCCATAAATCATAACAACAATAATAACAATATTAACATGTCTTTATACAATCCAATCAACAATAACAAATAACAACAAAAGTTACACAAAAAAGATCTTTGTTATACTTTAAAAAATTCTTTTCACGTGACTCAACCTAACAAAAAAGGAAATGTTTTCATGTCATTATTAGCTTTTGCTATGCCAGGCAATACTAGAATAGACAAATTAAATTTTCTAACTTCTATTTTTTCTCATAAACCTGGTTTTGTAAACATAGACTGGAAATTTCACAATGGTAATGCAAACATCTTTATTGAATTTGATAATAGAAAATTTTTATTAGACACTATAGACAATGCTTTGATAAGTCACCTAGAGCTTCCATTCAATCTAATCTCCATCACAACAATTATACTTACAAATTAAAAACAGTCTCTAGCAATATTACACAGAATTATATCAATATAGCTCTTTCTTATTTTGGTTCAATTACCTCTATTGTGGATCAATATAGAAATTAATACTCTTCATCACGTGACATTATCATCATATTTGACAAAGAAAAAAAACACATCAGTTGAATATGGCTTGGACACATAACATAAATGGACAGGTTATAAGATATGCGTATATTGACACTTTACTAAAAGAATTAAAAGATAGAAATCGTTATGTAGCTGGTTTTAAAGGTTTTATGAATAAAACAACATCAGCTGATGCTTTCTGTACCTTGAAAGCTTTCAATGCTCGATCATGTTACTTTCATAATAATATCGCCTATGCTGCTTTTGCATCTGAAGAAAACATGAAATCAGTATGCTCATAAAGAATTATACATAATGGATACAAATTAGATAGAAGACCCAAAATCCTTAACCGTTCTTATACACAAGCTGAATTAGTCCCCTCATCAGATACTATTCCTCTTAAGTCCTCTTTCAATAAATATTAAAGAAACAGACACCCCTCATTCAACAATAACTTAAATAAAGAAAAAAGTAAAGATGTTGAATATACATTACCTATTACACAATATATCAAAACTCCTTTCAATAATATTTCTAATCCCTTAGATCTAATTCTAGCTAAACTTCAAGAATTAGCCTCAATCAAATCTCATTTGGCAAAATTAGATTCTCAGATCCTCGCCTTTACTAATCATGATAGGTTTACAGCCCGTTGGTTATAATATATTCTACACCAGGCAAATCACAACTAAAGAGTATTCCTATTGATAACTGGAATACTTCTAACACTAATATAGATGTTACCTCTTTCTTAAACAATCAAATTTCCTAATTTTACGATAATAGACAAAACGATATCAATAAAATAGATAAAGATATTACATAATTAGATGATAAATATGTGACAACATAATTAAAGGAGACATAATAACTTTTACTACACACAATATAAGGAGTATCAATAATACAACAGATCCTATTAAATCTTCTCAGATAATGGAACATTTCACACATAATAATGTAGACTTTGTCAGTTTTACAGAAACTTACCACAACTCATCAATGTTATACAAACATAAACAGGACCAATATTATACAACTTTTTGGAGCCAACCTGATCCACTACAACCTTTTGCAAGTGTCACTCTACTAGTATCAAAAAAATGGGACAAATACATTACTTCTTCATTTACATCAGACCCACGATTGCTTTACGTAGATTTATATTTGAAAGAACACGTTAAATTTAAAATAATTAGCTGCTATATTCATGCTAATATAACTAATCCTAAAAGTAAACATGATCGTAGACTTCTACAAAAATAAATTCTTAACATACTAAATGATAGCAACAAACAGCACTACCATACAATTATAATAGGGATTTTAATATTAATATAGATGATTATCATGAGCATTTAAAACTTGACAAAAATCTTGGATAGCGATTTGATTTAGTAGAAGAATTTTCATACAAAAATTATACAGATCTACAGTTATTATGTAATGATGATATCCTTCCAACTTTCTTTTCATCATGCAGTGCTATTAAAACCTTACATCTAAGAGACTTAATAGCATTTTCTGTTCATCAAATTTCTTTGCTGATCTTCTTTACTGTGGTGTTTTGAAACCTCTCATTTATCAATCAGATCATAAGATTGTCACATCATATTTTACTAATCCAATGAAAAGACAAGAAGCTCAAGCAAGATATAATAAAACAAAGAGAAAAAAATTTTACTTCGATAACATGACTGCACAAAAATGGAAGTTTTTTGCAGAAGCTACAGACATACAATTCAAACAACACAACATGGATAAACTGCTTCTACTACCTAAAATGCATGATAATATGAATCGTATATGGGAATACCTTAGAAATGCTATTCTAACTGCTGCCACCAAATCTATTTCCTATAAATAGGATTTTGCAAATCAAAAAGCTTTTAAACCAAAGGAATTAGTAACTTTTTATGATTATATGAAATTAATTAACAAAATAGTAATAAAGTTCAAAGCTGCTAGGGTGAATTCAAGAACTTGGTCCTTAGAAGATGAATGAAATACCAATTTAGAAACTATAAACAAAGTTACATCCTCTGCAAAACTACCAATAACTCCTTTTCCAAATATAATCACTGATTCCAATGTTAAAGAAGTTAGAAAAACACTTTTAAAAGTTTATTATAACTTAAAAGCACTTTCTAAAATTGAAGAGGCTAATATTTCATATCAGTGAATCAAATACTTCATAGATCAACGTTGCTTACAATATGAATCAAATCCAGGTAAAATGATTCAGTAAGCACTAGGACGATCAAAGAAAACTATTGTATTAGATTGTCTTATTATTAAAGACAATGATGGAAAAGTTCTTTAATTAATGATTCACATCTTATCAAAGAACATATTAACAAACATTTTCAAAATTTTACGATTTCTGATTCACCTGCTACTTCTCTCTTTGGAAGATGGATTGATCAATATCAACTGAAAGATTATGTTGATGATACTTGGTTTAACAATCTCATGCAACCCCCTACTATTAAAGAATTATCTTCAGTAATCTCTCAACTCCCAAATAATAAAGCCGCTGGTCTATCAGGAATTCATAACGAGATGATAAAACACTTAAGGAATAATACACATTAGCTACTTTGAAAACTAATTAAATGTGTTTGAAATCAATGATATCCCTTCAGAATGGAAGATAGCTCACGTATACCTTATACCTAAACCTGTGAATTGGGATTGTGATATAATAAAAACTCGTCCTATCACTTTATTGGATATTACAAGAAAAGTCTTTGTTAAAATTATTACTAATCGACTTTTAGAATACTTGCTAAGCATAACATGCTAAAAGAAAACAATTATGCTGGTCTTTCTGGAGGTTCAACAGAGAATCTGATCAAAATAATGAACCTAATAATTGAAAATGCTGTCGAAAACAAAAAAGACTTATGGATTCTTTTGCAAAATTTATCCAAGGCTTATGATAGAGTAGATCTCAACATTCTCAAACTTGCACTCAGAAGAATAAAAATTCCAGAGAACTGCATCTCCTGCATTATCAATCTTTTTACAAATAGAAAAAATGCTATTTTCACTCAATATTGCCTCTCTGATTATTATAAGATCAAAATCAGTATTGATCAAGAAGAAGTCATATCACCTTTATTATAGTGTATTTACTTTGACCCCCTTCTGTATGAAATAGACAATTTGAAAAAAGGTTATACTATAGAACATTCCTGGATCTCCAATATCAAAGAAATGTTTTAATCCTCTTTATAAGCATAAGTTTCTACTTTAAGCTATATAGATGACTCAAACTGGCTTGCACATTTAAAAAAAAATTTGGAAGACATATTAGAAGTAGCAGACGAATTCTACAATATAACTAAAGCTACTATTAATAAATTAAAGTCACAATTATTAACAAATACTATCACAATACCACAACCAATACCCATTAAATTTGGATCTAGTATAGTTGATATCAAACTAGAATTGGGCTCTGTTCAGTTCTTAGAGGTCTGGATTAATATATTTAATTCAAAAAACTTCGTTAAAACATAGACTAAAGATACCATTACCAAATTTACCATAATTCTTAAATCAAACCACTCACTGACAAACAACTCATATACATCTTCAACATGGTGCTTTTTCCATTACTAGAATATCAGTTACAAACTACTCCCCTTTCCTTCAATAAATGTAATAAAATCTCTACCCATTAAGAAGGATGGTTAAACACAATGCATCAATGACCTTAACTACTCCTGAATGTCTATTCAAAGGTAGTGTCATTTACAATCTAAATGATCTGTAAACACAATAGCTGTAATCATATTCTACAGTGCTTCTATATCAATTCAATTCAAAATCAATTTATAAACACATATCAACAATTCGCTTATTTTAATTACAATCTCAATACTCGCTATATGCTTCTCCTTTGAAAAAATGAGATAAACGATTAGATACTAAATCTTGCAGAAATATTATTGGCGTGATCTTAAGCTTAATAAAGTATAAAAATATCAGCATCTCTCTAATTACAAATCAATTTTTAGCTAACGATATTAAAGGAGGCTCACTGCCCTTAAACCTTATACTCAATAATAACAAATTAAAGAAATATAGTAATATACTTCACAAATACTCACTAGTATTTATAGATCAATTCTTAGATATTAATGGTTCTCACTTACTAAATTGGAGAGAAATCACTCGAAGAAATATATATAATCACATACCAACAGCTCACACTCCTAACCTATATTATACAGTAGAAAGAAAAATTCTAGATAGCTCAAATAATAGATTAGTACACAGTTTTTATAGATTAGATAGTTCAAATAATAATTACATAGATATACCTAGTATAGAAATTAGTTTAAAAAATTTAAAAAAAGAATTTGTGACTATCCATCACCTCATTATGAATGTGACTATCATAGGAAGAATTCTCAGAAAAATGAAAAACTTAAACAACATTCTAGTTCAACACTTCATCAAAGCTGATCCTTATGAAAATATTAGTCAAAATTATAATAATAGATCAATCGTTCAATGTCTTGGTTGTAATCTCAATGATGATGCTCTATTAAATTTTTGCAAAAAACCACCCAACCACCTGAGGAAAATCTTTGGTAGACCTATAACTTATACAACTTGTATTAAAGGTTACAATGCTTTTACTGCCATTATTGTTGAAAGAATTTGTATAACTTATCCACTTAAGAAAACCACATTTATCATGAAACAAACTCCTGAAAATCATATTACATCTCATCATTATCAACTGCTGAGGAAAGATGTGTTACGACAACCTATTATGTCATCAATAGATCATATAACCAATATTGATATTGAATGCCTAACTCAGTCAACAAACACTATGCTCATTAGAAAATGTATAAAAAATGTTTCATACCAAGATGAGCTCGTCAATCTATTTCAGTCATGTAAAGATTTTAATACACCCAATTTTTACACCAATGGCTTTCTTTCTAATCCCACTTCAGAAGAATACAAAATGGGACTAGGATGGATTTGCCCAGATTTACTACACAACTACCAACATTCTTTTAATGCTACAGTATTATATCACCCATCTTCTACCAGAGCTGAACTTTTTGCTTTACTTACTGCTTTAATCGTTTGTCCTAAACTCTCTTCATCAACAATATATTTGGATAGTCAAGCAGTCATTGACGATTACTATAATTTCTGCTTGAATCTGAAATTTACAACAAGAACACATGAAAAGTACCTAATTATACTATATGGATCCTAGTCAACCATATAATCAATGAACTAAATCTTACTATTAGGCTGATTAAAGTCAAGGATCATTCAGAGAATCATTACAATGATGTAACTGATAATTTAGCAAAAGCTGGATGTTCTAAATTGCCTTTATTACTTGATCTTACAACATGTGATGATTTACAGCTTCTTTTTAGCTTCAACCAAATCCCTGTTAAGTTTTCAATAAGGAAATTATGGAAAAATCTCAATATCGCTAAACAATTTTTAACATTTTTGGATCTCAATAGAAATTCACATTTAACTCAACAAACACACTCCTCTGATATTCATTGGCTGACCTCTTTTTCAGTATTTTCTTCAAATATAGGTGATGCTTCAACTACTACCTCATTCTTTTAAAGACGTAGAAAAGGCTTTAAACTCAAATTCTTAACTGACGAATTACCCATAATTGAAAAACTTTTAATAAGAAGGCCCGATTTATATAAAGATTGGCTTTGTATCTACTGTATATTATATAAAGAAGATTATTATCACTTGTAGATATGCCTTTACAGAATATAAGTTATCATAGAGATTTGCTTATTTACTCTCAATTTTCTCAACAAATTCGTCTTAGATAAAATTGGAAAAAATGATTATAGGCTTAACCTCTATTATACCATCAAACCTCGACTAATAGAACTATTGAACTCTTCACTTAACCTTACCTCATATATGCATTTGGCCAAAGGAGTCATTTCAAAACAAATGTTTTTACTTCTTAAGGAACTGTTTTCTCCTATCAACTCAAAATGTCTCCTTGTGAATACTTCTAATTTCCTCACTAACGCTTTTTATGATGACATTTGGGCTTCCAGATGTAAGAGAATGATTCAAGAAGAGAGGAAAAATGGCATCTTCATGAAAATAAAAAAGAAAAAAGTCAAAATCAAACGTCCTTTAAACATAAAATTTCTAATAAAACTGTATTAAGTAGTTGGACCACTTGGTGTACTTTAGCTATGAATTTTGGTTTTTCTTGGTTCAATTTCTTGGAAAGGTATTGACAGTTTCATTTAAATATCTTGTTAACAATTCAATCATTAAATATGGATTTTTTTGGCTTTTTCTGAGGGATGTTCTGGTGATTGGTCAATCCAAACAGGTTTATAACAAAATCACAGGATAGTCTTAGTTTAATTTTTATTATTTTACTTTTAAATTAGTTTTTTATTTTCTATTTTTATTTGTAATAATTAAACATAAATATAATAAACTTAAGACAGTACCACATTGTTAAAAAAAAAAAAAAACAACAGCTTAGCTAACGAGACCTCAGATTTATGATGATATTCATTTCTGCAAAAATATACTACTGCTAAAAAATGCGCCAAGTTAGGCTTGTAGGCAATGAGCATCTCTACAAGACGAAATTATACGACAAAGAGCTACTAATGGTTATGACTGTTCGCTTGATTATAGGATTGAAGAAGAATATATGTATAATGAATTTTCAACAACCAGTATGATAAGAGGAGCAATTTTACAAAATGAACAAGATGAAGACGTTTTACAATATGATGACATTTCACGATATAACAATGCTTTACAAGATGATGACAATTATAATAATATTTCACAATATTTTACCGATGATAAAAATATATAATTCTAGACAAACTTTAATGTTTTCACATATTGCTTTTTATATAATATTTGCTTTTTATGTAGGATTCTTATATAATATTTGTTGTCTTTGTACTTTTATGTATTGTTTTTATATTTGCGTTTTTATTAATAATAAAATTTTACAAAATTAAGTTAAAATACAACAAAAAATACAATTGAATTTATATGAAATTTGACATAAAATTTCAGCCGATTTTTTATCTATATGTAATTAAAAGTTAGTCAATGTTTATACCTGAATTATAGTTATTTGTTACCTGAATCTCAAGTCTAAAGATAACTGAAAGATATATATAAAGATGCCAGTTAACTACCTAACATTCAAATAAAAAAAGCTAACTTTAGGTCAAAATTAAACCTAAAACTGGCAATCCTAATTCTGGCCAAAATGGATCATTTCAACTGGTATTATTTTACATTATTTTTTTATTTATTACTTATATTTTTTAGATAGGAAATTAATCAGTGAGTTTTGGTAATATTTTTGCAAATTATATTAGGTTTTTATTATTAATAAAATTATAATATTTAATAAATTTAATAGATATAATATATCGATTTTATATACTTATTTGACTGAATTGATACCAAATTGAGACCAATTTTAGGCTGATTTATGGTTATTTAAATTCTGAATTGATGCTAAATGATACTGAATTAAGGCCAATTTTAGGCTGATTTATGGTTATTTAAATTCTGAATTGATGCTAAATGATACTGAATTGAGGCCAATTTTAGGCTGATTTATAGTTATTTAAATTCTGAATTGATGCTGAATGATGCGGAATTGAGATCAATTTTAGACTGATTTATAGTTATTTAAGTTCTGAATTAATGCTGAATGATGCTGTATTGAGGTCAATTTTAAGCCAATTTATGTTATTTAAGTTTCAAATTAATGCTGAATGATGCTAAATTATGGTTGAATTTAAGTTCTAAATGGCCATGTCTGATAGAGATCGATCGATGTCTATCAGTACCTGTTTGTGCTGATCAGAAAACATGGCAAATCGGCCATAAATAGTATCAAAATTGGCCTAAAATCAGCTATCTGATTTTTAGCCGATTTGGACTATTCTTACTTCTTTTATCCTAAATTTCTAAAATTTTTAGAAATTTGCTGAGAAAATAAAATTTTTTCGCTCAAAAAACTTTTATTTAAAATTTACAACTTTGTTAGCTAGTTCTTTAGCTCACTTTTTACAAACAGTTTAAAATACTTGAAAGAGTTTATTTATTTGAAAATTTTTACAAAATGGTTAGAAAATCTGCAAAAACTTCTGTCAACAAAATCAACAAAGGTCACTATGACTCTCTGAAAGCTAAGCAACCTGAAGCTAGCGGCTCTTCACACTCTGGAGATAAGTCCAATCTGTCTTTAGTCACTAATAAGAATATTATTGATAATATATACGTTAGACAGTCTACCCGCTACTCAATATTCTCTACACTTAAGAATTTGTTTCCATTGAAAAAAATATAAATATGAAAACTGTAAATTCTAACTTTATTATCATTTTTCGTCCTTTTTCCTTTGCTTGCACTACCTCTATCAACAAACCATTAAGGAACTCCTCATCTCCTAAATTATTCACACGATCAACAATGCGTTTACACATAACAATGCATTTAGAGAACTAAATGTATGTCATGTAAACTTTATGCGCTTTGCAATTATCTATTTTAATAATGTAGAATCTATATAAGCTGCACTTCCTACCCACTTTCTGAATTAAGTATTAAGAAATTTGTAAACTAAAATGTACATAAAGATAATACGCAGTTCTAAAATAGAACTCTGCGTGTTATTGATATTCACCTTAGCCTTAAAAAAAGAAACTATTACTTCAATCTTTTCCAAATATAGCACTATTACAAATATTCGTATGTAGACTAAAGACCTATGACAACATGCATTTCACTAGTCGAAATTAAAAAAATCAGACATGCGAAAAATCTGCCTAAATTTGGCCTAAATTCAGCAAATTATCAAAAAATTGGCCTAGCCAATTGGTATACACTAGAAATCGGCTAAGAATCAGCTGAAATTCGACCTATCTTATTTATAGCTGATTGGTATACTTATTGCTGATTGGCATACGTCAAAAATCGGCTAAAATTCAACCTATCTTATTTATAGCCGATTGATGTCTGATTTACATTCGATTAATATACATCAAAAATAGATTTCAAAATAAAATAAAATTCGGAAGGAAATATAACTGATATTTAGGATTAACAGCCAA